AAATTATAAGGGGTCATTATCATTAAAAAAAAAAATTTGTATTTCCCTGGCATAAGATTACATAGGTCTTTCTTTCACTATTCATATATGGTGTATGATAGGATGGTTCGGATACTTGAAAATATAATGCATGTGTCGGATTTAAAGAAGAGTTTCATTTCACTTTCTTCTCTCTCTAGATGTAAAAAGTTAGAGATTTATCAAGCAAGTTAGAATTCTTAAAATTACAAAAGGGGCTCTAGTTGTGATGAAGGAAGTCGAGGAAAAAAACTTGTGTTATAAAATTGTGCGAAAAAGGGTAAATTTGGTTGTGACAAGAGGTACATGGTTTGGCAATAGAAGATCTTGGTGGAATTAAGCAAAGTCATCGTAAGGATATTCAGCTAGGTCAAAAAATTAAAGGGCCTTTGTAAGGATATTCAGCAAGGTAAAAAGACCGATGACTATCACATGATGAGATTGAGGAAGGACTTTATATTTTTCCTTCAAACCCATGCTTAAAATTTAGTGAAGGGCCTATGTGATAAGATTATTATATACAAATCTAGTGTTGATTTTGATCATTGTCATGGTTTGTATAAAATTTATTATTTAATTTATTTAAAGCTTCCTTAATTGACTTGTGTTTAGTATAGGAATATGCCTTCTGTTTAGTATATGAATAAAATATTGGAATGACAGGAAATGGGTACTATAAATTTTAAGAAGGAAAAAGTTTACATAGAGCCGAGCCTCTAAACAATCAAATTAGAGCCCACCACAAAAAGTTTACTAGAAGAGGTTGTTTTGATGCCCAAGTATCCTCAAATTGATCATCTCAACATCAAGATGCATAGAAATGAGAAAAAACTGGATTTCAAGTTTTGAAAATAGTGCATCTTGTAACGCATTTTTGGACTTCCAATTTTTATTTTCAATTTTTCATTGATCTACTCAATTTTTTAAGCTTTAAATTTTGTACATATAAAAGTATATTTAAAGCTATGCAAAGTTTTGTGGGAGAGACTTATACAAGGGATCTCGATGACAAAAAATTAATCACTAGTTGTGCTTATAGGTGTTCAAGAAGGGTTGCATCCAAAGCATGTGAAGGGGTAGCATGGCCTTAAAATCTCAAGAATGAGAACGACGAAGGTAGAATTTACATGAGAAATACAAGTACAAAGCAAGATGAGCAAGACAAACTCGCGATAGTTATTGGGGTATAGAGGTTTTGACATTGACAAAATTCTCTAAGTTCTTCAAGAAAGGAATAATCAAATATGGATAGTAAAGGAAGGATATGATTTTCTATCAAGGTAAAGATTGTTGGGATGATGATGCAAAAGCACATAGAACTAAACCTATGGTATTTCTCTCATCACAAGAGCATTTATGGTCATTGTGAAAAGCCCTTTTGGTAGAGACTTTATACCCATTTAGAGAAAGAAAAGTGGGTGTGTTATTTGTGAAACAAGCTCTTGAGAGAGAGAAAATAAAGTTTTGGAAGAAATAGAAATTGGGATTTTACACAAAATGCATTTGGCCGAATTTCATCCACATTTCTTTATAGCGATGGAGTTGGTTGAAGACAATAAAGGAGTTGATTAATAGTTTTTTTGTAGTATGAAAAATTCATGTTTAGCTTTTCTCCACTACTGTAAGATATTCTCTATATATTCACGAAACTTGTAAGTCTTCCATTAATAGTGAATCAATTTTTACTGGTTGACCGTGGATGTAGCCCGATTTTCGTGAGCCACATATATTTTTATGTTTACGATGATTGGATTATGATTTGTAATGTGCGGTTATATCATTGCATTTCCTATTTTTTGCTTCTATTCATTTCCCCTTTTTTCTTATCAAATTTAATAGGCATATAGTTCTTAGGTGTATAAATTACTTGGAATCAATTTGCCAATGATAGGCCAATTGGTTTTGAGGTATTCGATTTGTTGTGGTAGAGGATTGACCGCAACAAAGGATGATCGAGTTAGTGTAGGTTCCCGACAATTATCAAATCAAAAATCTAAAAAGCAAAAGAAAAAAGGGTGTTTATTAACAACTTAAAATATAAGAAAATACTAATTTATTTGGCTGCATTTTAATCCACCACTTCAAGAGCAGAAAAGATCAAGCTAAAATAAATACAAAAAAATTAACGAAAATGGTAGCAAGTAAGATAGTTCCATGACAAAGATGAAAAAAAAATGCTTTGATCCTTAAAACTAGGACTAGAATCGAAGACTCATCTGGAAGCCCCAAGTTTTCTCTCATCACATTAAGAACACCTACCTACTTCATAAAAAAACAGATCCAAAAAAGCAAATATCATATACCCACCTCAAACCATCAATTTCTCTCTTATTACATTACAAAACATCATCAAATACATAAAAATAAGAGCAAAGAACTAATACCCACTTAAATACTATATTAAATATGAACATATATTATTTAAATGTTATTATCTAAATATTAACTAAACATAATATTTTTAAAATGTTATTAAAATATTATATGTTAAATATTATTTAAATATTAACACTATTCGGGTTGAATCTACATCAACCCAAACCCAAATAGTGTTCGGGTCCAAGATTTGGACCCGGACCCAAACCGTCTGGTACAATTTTCGGACCATACCCGACTGGGGTCTGATTATCGGCTCCCGGGTCAAGTCCTAATTCATTGTCACCCCTAGGCCTCGGAACCACACTTTCTCCCCCATCATCTCTAGAAAGAGAGAAAAACCCCATGAAGCAATAACCGAAAAATAGCCAGAGCACAATCCAAATGTTCATGGTATTCAAACAAAAGACGACATCTCAATATTCACTCTCTTTTGTAAGATAATGAAAATCCATAATACATTGCTCTTATTCTTTTCATAAAAACCCAAATAAAAATATTTATAATATTTTTTAAAAATATATAAAGCTAGGCCGATCCACCGATCTCGATCTTCCAAATGGCCAATTACCGATCAAATTCTCTCAAACATGTGTAAAGATTTTCTAGAGCAGTCCAATTCACGTAATGTTCCAAAAGAAAATAAATAAAGATCTCTAGGGACACAAACGCAAATAAAATGGGAATGGCACTCTCCCGATCTCCCTCTCTCTATTAAGCCAGCCAACGGGCCGGATTTGGGCCGGTCCTGGCCTGGCAAAACCTAGAGATTTCTACCTAGCATGAAATCATGATTGTTTGGCCAGGCCCAAAAGCTGTTTCGTTATGGCCTGGGAAGTTTGTTTTGGTCTGGGCTTGTTTTGGACTGGGCTTGGGCTGGCCCAAATATAAGCCCAACCCAATTTGAAGCCTTAATTTTTTTTCTTTTTAGTTTTTTTAATTTCTCTTCAATTGTTATTTATTTGTAAGCTAAAAAAAATAATTCTTTAAAAAAGTACACTAAAATTTTGTTTTGAAAAATTTGAAAGCCAAAAATAACATTGAGAAATAAGAAGTATTAGGAAGAGGGGTGGGTAACAATCCATCCCCCTCACTCTCTCTCTATAAAAATCCATTTACTTTCTATCTTTGAAAACAAGGTTTCTCACCCCAACGCCTGCCTCTCTCTCTCTCTAAGAGCCCATTATCTTTCTAATAACCCATTTTTTCAAACTTTCTTATCTCTCCCCAAAACCCATTCTCTAATTTTCTTTCTCCACATGGAAAGATCGTCATTGATGTGAAAATGATTTCCTATGAGAAACCCCAACTCGATTATGAAATTACAGAAGATATGGGTATTTTTAGCACAAGTGACTTCTGAATTTTAGAAAGAGAAGTTCAGATGAAAAGTAACAATACTTCTAAAGAGAGAAAATCATCCAGCAAACTAACTGTCGTAAAGCAACCCCCTAAACTAGTCCTGTTTCCCCACTCATATATCGAAACTCTCCTCACTTTTACCTTTAGGTCGGAGAGATCCCATCAAAGGGAGGTTAAAAATATGATGATCTGGTTCAAAGGCTGGACAGATGTTAAAAACAAAATCCTAAGAGAAAAAACTAGATGATTGGATTTTTCAGGTATCTCGTTTGTTTATTTACATTTCCAAATGATAATTTTTAAACAAAATTACATACATATCCGGTATACTTTGCTTTATTATAAATGTTTCAAATAAATAATTTTTTAAAAAAATTACATACACATCCGTTATACTTTGTATTATTACAATTGTACAAAATAGTATATATCCGTTATATTTTATATTATTACGAATGTACCAAATAATTTTCGTTATTACATGTCTGTCCATTATGTTTTTTTACCTTTTATAAGATAATTTTAAAAAAAAACGACTTTAACAACTCTTTTTCAAATGTTAAACAACCAAATTGAAGAGTTTTTAGAATATTCAACATCCGAAAATAACTCGAAAGTTTTATGTTTACATTCCCATTTTCATTTGTTCAACATCTAAAAATATGACATTTTCGAATTTTCAACACTACGAAATTCCAAAAACCTTATGAAATTCTTAACTTTCGAAAACGGTTTCGGATGTTGACAAATTTCTAAAATAGTTTCAAATGCTGACATTTTCGAATATTCAACACTGTAAAATTCAAAAAACCTTATGGAATACTTAAATTTTGAAAATGGTTTCAAATGTTGGACATCCAATATCCGAAACCATTTTCGAATATTCAACATCCGAAAAATGTCACATATTCGAATATTCAATATCCGAAAATATGACCACAAAATTCTAAAAAGTTTCGAGCTATTTTCGAACAACCGAAAATAAGAATGTGAACGTTAAACTTTCAAGTTACTTTCGGATGTTGAACATCCGAAAAACCCTTCAATTAGTTTGTTCAACACCAGAAAAAAAGTAAAATCATTTTTTTGTTAAATGTGTTATGAAGAGTAGAATTGGAGAGGTAATAATAAAAACTATTCGGTACATCCGTAATAACGCCAAATATAACGGATATGTGTACTTTTCCCTAATTGTTATGACCTACAAAGGTAAGGAGCGATGACATTTATGAGAGGGGAAATCAACACAAACAACCACTAAATTAATCTCTCAACATTTCCCATCGATTAAAAATAGATGTTGCTACAAAACAATCCACCGGCAAGATACACCATCATCTTCAGCCCACACATACTTATTGGTACCAACAACACCCTCTCTTCTCCAATTGGGAATGTCTTTTCATACCACCGTCTCCAACTCTCCAAATATAGCAAAGCAAAAATGCCAAAAAAAAAAAAGGAAGAAGAAAGCGCACATGACAGGGCAACTAGTAGCTCCTCCTGCCAATCTCAGTACCTATATTGTGGTGGTTTGTAGGGACCCTCAATGGGAACATTGATATACTCGGCCTGATCCGGAGAGAGCTTGGTGAGGTGAGCACCAAGCTTGCCAAGGTGCAGGGAAGCCACCTTCTCGTCCAGGTGCTTCGGCAGCACGTACACTTGCTTCTGGTACTTGCCAGTTCCCTTCTCCTTCCATAGCTCAAGTTGAGCAATTACCTATTACATATTTGAAGCCAAACAACGGTTTGAGAGGATTTCCAAACACGGGAACATCAGCCACCACTCAAAAATAATGGTGAGGGCCACATAAACTCAGCAAAAATGGAAAGCATCAAAACATGTAAACATAAAACACGGCAAAAATGGAAAGCATCAAAACATGTAGAGATAATCAGACGGCATGAATAGTCATCTTAACCAAACATGGACTTTCTGCAAAAACAATGATAGAGGTAGCCCATAATGGAGAGAGATGTTCGAGTACCCTACACAATACACATCGATTTATTAAAAGTATAATTTGCCTATGGAAAAATTTGTTCACAAGGTAAGCTAATGCTCACAATGTCGGTTACTTCCGTGGATATCATGGGGAAGTTAGTGCCAAATTTTCAGAGTGTTGATTTTTTATCTGGGCAAACCCAGGAACTGAGACTATTACAAGTGTAAACCAAGAAATAAAAAATATAGAAAATATATCGAACTTAATTATTTAGATTATTTTCAATAAACTAATATTTCTTATAACCGCTATTTCAGTTCATGAAGGTAAAGTTCATATTTTCCTAGAAACCCATATTTACCTTTCACCAAAGCTTCATTTCCCAAAAGAAAATGAAAGAAGAGAGAAAGAAAAAGAAAAGAAAAATTCCTGCATTATACAGGACATTGAAAGTAAAGAAAAGATTTGCTAGTTGCTAAAGCAACTCCTAACATGTTAGATTTTTTACCTGGTTAGTGAAGGAGCAAGACATAACAAAGCTGGGATGCCCAGTAGCACACCCAAGGTTCATGAGACGGCCCTCAGCCAACACAATAATACCGCTGTTGGTCTCAGGGAAGACCCATCGGTCAGTCTGGGGCTTGATGGTGTTGCGCTTCACACCAGGGTAGGTCTCCAACCCCTGCATGTCAATCTCATTGTCAAAGTGACCAATGTTGCAAACAATGGCATTGTTCTTCATCTTCCTCATGTGGTCAACCATGATGATGTCCTTGTTACCGGTGGCGGTCACGAAGATGTCAGCCTCTGAGACTACATCCTCAAGGGTTAGAACAGGGATGCCTTCCATGAGGGCTTGTAGGGCACAGATGGGGTCGATCTCAGTCACAATGACACGGGCACCAGCCTGCTTGAGGGCCGAGGCACAGCCCTTGCCCACATCTCCGTACCCACACACAACCGCAACCTTGCCAGCAATCATGACATCAGTGGCCCTCATCAGGCCATCAGGGAGAGAGTGTCTGCACCCGTAGAGGTTGTCAAACTGTACCATAATTGTCACAAAAGGTGTCAATCAACTTATATCTTTGGTCAAAGAACATTTCGAAAAGAACGATGAGAGAAATAAAAACAGGATGCAAAGAAGGAAAGGGCGAGTCAATATATGTCGTTAAGATACAGGGCAACTAATTTCAGAGGGAAACATCGTTTAGATTGCATAAAAAAGGCTCCTGTCTTTCACTAGGAAGAACCATCCTAATACAAATGTCCATCTACTTATACTGACTACGGAATACATTCCTAAGGAATCCGGAAGGCGATGATAAGAATTTAGAAAGGTGACAGAATTGGATATTTCACCAAGTAATCACCAAAGGAAAAGAATTAATCAGACATCCATCTTTAAGATGGATGTGCAGTGGCAGTCCCTCCTGAAAAAATAAAATCTTATGGTTCAAAAATATTTCTCCAAAAATTGATCATTTTTAGCTCTTGAAATTTATTGATTTTTAACATATTAATGATCTCCATGTTAGATATCTTAGATCTCTAGAAGATTAGATCCAAAATCCATCATAAAAATAACTCAAAAGGAGGGGGTGCATATCTACATATGAGTCCTAAGACTCATAGTAACCATGTCCTCTACCAAAACTCAATCTCAACCATCTCAATATTGTGATCTACAATGACTTCTTAGCAAGTAGAAAAACCCAATTCTCACATGAAAGAGAAAAATATAAAATAATTCCAACCAGTTTCCATAGTTTTCTGAAATAACCGAAAAAATAAAAGAATTCCTAATCTACTTTAAAGTGTAACTCAACTTTAAGGATGAGAAGAAAAGTGAAAACTAGCTTTACAACAGAAGTACGAGATCCAATAGAAATAAGTGCAGCCCAAGTAAGAGACTATTAAAAATCTCAGATCCAGTCATATAGACATGCCCGGTACTCGTATGGAAGTAGATAGCAGACACAATTTTCCTCAAATAGGGTCATACCACCTTTAGTTACAGAAATGAATCATAGTAGCTTACATCTAATGAAGCTTTTTTTTTTTATTTTTTTGGGTGAATCATCTAATAAAGCATTCTCTGAATCTCACATGGAAGCAACAGGGTATCTGATCTCCAGAATCTAACAAAGAAAATCTTCACCTCTGGATTAGAATCTTCATTGATGAGTCCAGTACAACCAAATCAATCCGGGATTATTTCCCATTTGATCCCCCATCCATAGTCCAGAACCTAGACTTTTAACAACAAGTGCAAACTAAAACTTAAAAATCAAACACAACAGTCACCACAAATTCAACAAAGCTACTGGACAAATTGTTGTTGATCTTAGTCACAATTAGATAACAGAGAATTAGATCCATCCTATCCAACCATAAAACAGATCCAGATTTTCAATCTCTTGACTGAAATTAATTCAAAAATATCAAGCCTGAGTCTAATGAGCAACTCACTACATGAACTTACTCCTCTAAGAACCGGTTTCGCCAGGATGGTCAAAGTTCCAAACAAAACTCAGATTTTGCCTGTTATGCCAGAATCAGCTGATCCAGACTGCTATAAATCAAATCCAGCATATCAGCTCACAGATCACCTGTCGCAGCCTAATGGCCAAATTGAATAGAGATCCAGTTCTGTGTAAGCTGATAATAATACAGATCCACTCAGATCCTTAAAAACACTATGTGGAAAACCAGGGAAAAAACACTTAGGATGCCATGAAAGACCTTCAGAGAAAGATAAATTTTCAAAAAAGAAATACAAAAATAAAACCCAGGTCCAGCAAAATAAGATCCAGATTCAGAATCAACCACCAGATCCAGTCAGATTCTAATAAAACAAGCACATTCATACACAATCCTAAAAGCACATACAAACCACAATCTACCGCATAAAATGGGTATAAGTACAGAGAAAAGAGAAAACTTGATCTCACTATAACAGGGCAGGGCAGAGAGAGAGAGAGAAATGTAAAAACAGATCTCTCAATAAGGGAGACAGTAAAATGGAAAAAAAAATTGATCAAACCCTAAAATGATCGGTGAATCTCACTAAATCTAGGAAGAATGTAATTAGAGAAGAGCAAACTGAAGTAGAAAGAATAAAGTAGATCACCTTGCTCTTGGTGACAGAGTCATTGACATTGATTGCCGAGAACAACAAAGTCCCATTGGCATGCATCTGGTAGAGCCTCTTCACCCCAGTCGTGGTCTCCTCCGACACTCCGACAAGCCTATCCTTCATTTTGTGGTACTTCTTGGGATCTGCCTTCAACCCATCCTTAATAATCCCCAAAACAATCTGAAATTCAGGGTTGGTGGTCGAGGCCGGGTCAGGCAGCTTCCCGGACTTTTCAAACTCCTCCTCAGCCTTCACCCCTTCATGAATCAACAGAGTCGCATCACCGCCATCATCCACAATCAAATCCGGTCCTCCGCCAGGACCCCAGTCCAAGGCGCGCTCAGTGCACCACCAGTACTCCTGAAGAGTTTCACCCTTCCAGGCAAAAACTGCCGCACTGTCGCGTGCAATGGCAGCAGCAGCATGGTCCTGCGTCGAGAAAATGTTGCAGGAGCACCAGCGGACCTCAGCGCCAAGGGCAGTGAGGGTCTCGATCAGCACCGCGGTTTGGATGGTCATGTGAAGGGAGCCGGTGATGCGGGCACCCTTGAAGGGCTGGGACGGGCCGAACTCGGTACGGCAGGCCATGAGGCCTGGCATCTCGACCTCGGCAAGCTCGATCTCCAGGCGACCAAAATCTGCCTGAGACATGTCCTTCACCTTGTATTCGCGGCCGGAGACCGTTTTCTCCACAAGCAAAGCCATTTTCAGTGATCGGAAATGGCTCACAAAACGCAGAGAGGAGAAGGGGTGTAGAGTGGGAGATTGGGCGAGAAGGGGGTTAAATAGAGAGAGAGGTGGGGTTGTTGGGATCTGAGTGAGCTTAAAAAATGGAGGTTAGGGTTTGGGAGGGTGAAGAGTAAAAGAAGGATTTTTCTCATCTCGCTGCAGCCGTCCATTGCAAGTGGATCTGGTAAACAGGGTCGTCGGATCCGCGACGACAGACGCGTGTGAAAGGGGAAAAGGGAGGATTGGTGTCCCATCTAGCTTTTCTTTTTCTTGATGTTTTTGGGAGATTGGTGTCCCATCTACGTCTCCCAGCTTTTCTTTTTCTTGATTGTTTTGGGAAATGTATTTCCAGCACCTCCTTCATTTTATGTCGGTGATCCGAATGAGGTTCGTCTCAAGTTTGTTAGACAGGTCTAGATAAGTCTAAATTGATGATTTAAAAAAAGTAATGAATAATAAAATAAAAAAATTTAAAATAAAAATTTATATTGTGGGATATAGAGCAGATTTAAAAAATATTCAATAAAATTAACAAAAAGAAAAAATATTTATGACTGGGTTCAAGAGCTCTGGGTTGAGACCAATACCATCCAAAAAAACCTTTTTTTTATCCTAATTGATTCTCATCCACATCGATATCTTGTCAAGTTTTAAATGATGTTGTATACGCTTTTTTCCTTATTTCTCTAAGAGTATAAAATAATTTGGGCAACTGCCAAATGTTTCATGATTTTATCATTATTTATAAATATTGTAAATAGAACAATTGTTTCATGCCGACTGTATTTGTACAAGATGTGGTTCAGAAGTATAAAGCATCCACCTTAAATATGGATATAAATAGGGAATCCATCCAAAAACAATTGTAACTACTGTTCATATGTTTTTTTAATATAATTATTATTTCAAGTTTTCAAATCTTATTCATTTTTTCCATATTTATGATCTCCATGTTAAAGATTATATATTCTCTAAGAATTAGGATCCAATTATATTTAATATTCTCTAAAAAAATGAATCAAATTATATTTAAAAAATATATTTATTGCCAAGCCGGCATTTGTACATGTGCGGGCTTGGTAACCGAGTCCTTACATATATAATACAAGTATTATTGGGGATAAGTTTTTTGTTGAAATAAATTGCACTAGTATCGATATGAACTAGTAATATGGACGTGTGTTGCACATGATATTTAATATTAATCACTAAACTATATTTATCATTGAAAATATTTTCAATAAAATATGGTCTTAGAGATCATTGAATTTATCTTCACAGCTGAATAACTTTATGAAATAATTATCATTTTTTTAAAAACCTTGTTGATTTTGAAACTCAAATTTCCATTATAATTCTGATATATTATTTGTGATAAAATACAATTATAGGGAGAACAAAAATTTTAAATGTTATTTTAAATAGTGGAATCAAGATTGATATAGGCAATAAAAAATAGTGAGAGAAAGCTAAAAGAGATGGGATCAAAATTCATAATTAAAAAAATAAGATTAATCAAGTATCTCCCAATAAAATAAGTAATTCTTATATATACTTTATCACATAGTTTTTGCTAAAAATATAATATTATAGTTACAAAGGCAATTTAATGTTCAAATAGTCGTAAAAAATTTAAAATATAAAAATTATAATTAAAATACATACAAAAGGAAAAATTGAGATGAAAATAAATCAGATCATATAATATAAAAAAGAAAAAATAACCATTTTTCTTTCGCATTCATGATCAATAGGCCTTACTTAATAATATAAAAAAATAAATTATAAAATAAAAATATTACTCCCCAATAGAGAGACAAAAGAGACGTAATCCATTTGAAAAATAGAAAGAGAAAGCGACAAGAAAGAGTAACATAAATAAATAAGTTATATATAATTAAAATAAATAATAATAAAGTGATTCAATAAAATAAAGAATAATAATAATAACAATAATGGTAATAATAACAACAACAAAAACAATGGTAGTTATAGTTGTTCTTGTAGTAAGTCATTTCGGAAGCAGCTGTTGATATTAATATTAATATCAATATCAATAATAGGAACAAACTATCTTTTATTTTCTAATTATGAATTTTAAATTATTAAAAATTATCTTTTATTTTTAAATTATTAAAAATTATCTTTTATTTTCTAATTTTGATTTTTAAATTATTAAAAATTATCTTTTATTTTTAATTATGAATTTTAAATTATTAAAAATTATTCATAATTGATATGTTGTATCTCTTTCTTACTATTTTTCATTTGCACTATGTCCCTCTTGATTCTTGTATTTAAAATAACATTGAAAATCTTTTGGTCGTATTTAATATTTTTTTATGACATATAGTATATCTAAATTGTTTCTTTCTTTCATACTTTTTAAATAAATTTTATACTTCTTAAGTTACCGCAATAAGAAAAACATGACCTATTGAAAATGCATCTCTCTCACATTCAAGTCATTATTTCCCATGCGTAGCAAAAAGCTCCCAGCCTAATAAAAAATATGCATATTTTTATTTAGAGAAAATTACGCAAAGATATGTTTTAGTTTCTGTTATTACCAAAATACCAAATATTTTCCGTTATTACTGATATAAATCAAACCAATTTCGATTGTCCAAGAACCAAAAATTTTAAATTTTTGGTTTTACAAGAACCAAAATTGTTTTTTTCTCTCTCGTTATCTTTCTTTACCCCTCTCTCTCTCTATCAACTAATCAAGTTAAAATTTTGATTAATCAAGTTAAAAAATTGATTATGTTTTTAAATTCTGCTTTTGAACAACCTAATTATTTTGTTTGTTTTTAAACACTCTCACTCTATACCATTCTTATTGTGAGAAGATGTTGAATTTGATTTACAATGGCGGATTTGTACATACAGTATCAATAACGGTTCGCGGTTTCTATACCCGTTCACATTCCCCCTCAAACTCGAGATGATTTGACACAAAGCGGCTCAAGTTTGAACAATAAGTGGCGTAAAAGAAGTAAGTTTGATCTTCAGGTGTAAGGTGTGACTGTTAGAAGTAGTGGTCTCCACGCTTAGATTGCTTGAACAACAAACACAAAATTGCAGTGGTGGATCGACAAGCCTCAAGAACAACATATGGCCTCATGAATAAACAGGATCGAGTAACGATCAACAACAGACAAATAGGCCTTTAGAACAACTGGTATCGAGTAATGAAAACTCGATAAAACGGAAAACTCTACCTTCCAATAGGATTGAGTAACAAAAAACTCAATCATCGAATATGATCAAGTAGTGGAAAACTTGATCATCAACCTTAAAAAGAATAATAAGATCCAATACAGATCAAATAATCGAAACACAACTCGACAGAAAAATGGATAAGAGAAACGAAACAATGTGGAAATATGGATAGGGTAGAATCGGGCGACGCAAAATAATGGTGCGATTTATCAAAATGGTGAAAGACAGTGCAAGATTGATGGTTGGCGAACTTTGAAAGGTGGTGCAGTGATATGGAAAGACGCGGTTCAGCTCAATGGAAACGAAGTTATTTCCATTGAGGTTAATGGGCAAAAGGATTTGGATTTTTCAATTTGAACAAGCAAGAATTAAAATGTAGGATAATGGTCAACAAAGGCACAATGAACGACAAGGTCAACCCACCTTTTTTTTTTTTTCCTTTCTGATTTGTAGAGAAAACTTTTCGGTTTTGCTTTGGGTTTTTAATTTGTAAAACGATACCCTACATTTCAAAAACTTGAGAGAGAGAATTGGGGAACCAGAGTAAGGGAATTCGTGGTAGGATGAGAGACGTTATTCAACTGCATTGAAGCCTGTAAAAGTTAAAGAGAAAGAAAGACATAGAGGGTTTAAGAGGATAATGTATGAATTAGGGGTTTTGGGAACTCGCATTTGGGTTAGGGTTTCATCAGATCCAGTGCAGGCCTTTTGTGGCCTCGCATATTAGGAGAGAGTGAGAGGAAGGGAAGTAGAGAGACAAATAAGAGAGAGAGAGAGAGAGAGAGAGAGGAAGGAAAGTAGAGAAAGAAGTAAGAGGAGGTTTGGGAAAGATGAGACCGAGAGAGAGATTTAGGGGCAGAGAGATGTGAGAGAGATTTTCTAGACGGAGGATCGTGCCTCACCTCTGAAACTGTTGTAGTCCTATAATCCCTAGGAGAAGAAAAATAACTTGAAGCCAAAGAAGTTTCTGAGGATGGAAGAGCAGCAAAGACAGAGGCTCACTCGCTCCGATCAACTCTCGGTTCTGCAATTGCTGCACCTTCGAGAACTCCTCAGAGCTGCTGCTCAAGAGTCCCAACAACACTAACCGTGAAATCCAAAACACCTCTTCTAGCCTAATGACCCAAAGTCGAACCACTCTTGGATCTGTTCTTCAATTCAACAAAACCACCAATGAATCTTTAGAGACGAGCAAGACCCTCCTTGACATAATCAGAGATGAGGAAGAGGAATCCAACCCATGTAGATTAGTTGCAAACAACAAATCAGGCTGGGTGGAGAGAGAGGGAGATTGCAGAGATAAGAGGGAGGAGTCCGAACCTAGGAAGACCGAGAAATCAGAGAGAGAAGCAGATCACACACAGGCAATAACCATGGACCTTCGGAACAAGAGAGACCTTCGGAGCAAGGTGCGAACCGTTGCAGGGCACCTTCAGAACAAGAGAGACCTTTGGAACAAGGTGCGAACCGTTGCAGAGCACCTTCGGAACAAGAGAGACTGAGAGCAGAGAACTTGATTCTGATACCATGTGAGAAGATGTTGTTTCTATTATCTTGTAAATTTGATTTACAATGGCGGATTTATACATGAATAAACGGTTTCTGTTAACTGTTTACACTTTTCACCCCACGTTTTACCTTGTCTTTTTCCTTTAAGCTCTTCCCTATCTTTCTATGTGCTAATAGCCACCACAAAACCTCGATCTACAAACTCCTCTCTCTCTCTCTAAAAGGAAAACCTAAACTCTCTCTCTCCCCCTCTTTCTCTATAACGTAAAGATTTTAGACATGAGCTTTCTCCAATACCCTCTCCCACCCTCTCTCTCTCTAGAAAAACCTAAAAAACTTACATAGAAACT